TGAAGGAATGATAACTTTAAAAGATATAAATTCCTTTAGTAATACAGTAGTGAAAAAATTCAATTATCTTATCAATTAATGATATAAAGGAGTGAATATTAATTTATCAACTGAGTTATTTTAAATGCAAATTTTCAAAAATTAATTCAATAATAAAATCTAGTACTGATCGCATACTATTATTCATTATCATATAATTGCTAACCTTACAAATGCAGCAGCAATTTTCCCATTTTCATCACTCCATGCTCGACCCATTATTGCTTGGCCAAAATGATACCACAAGGCAACATATTGTTCCTCTGGGCCATTCAATGTGTTCAGTGGACGATTCAATGCTTTGATTAAATGCCTTTAATTTACTTCCAAAATCAAATATGGAAATAAAAATTAATGAAGAAAGAAAAATCACCTTAAAATTTGATAATTAAAATTTGTGAATAAAAATGAAAATTTTTAAAATACTTCGTTTTAGGAAATGTATCGCCCACGCAGTAATCGGCCCATTCGTTGACCATTAATAAATGATTTGATGAGTGTGTTTCCTGAAGTGCAATTTTAATAATGAATTAAAATGCAAAATTCATCTGGAATTTAACAAATTTCAGACAGCTTTTTTCTACATAATTTTAAAAAATTTTTGAAAATTTTTAAAACAAATTTGCGCAACATTCGGTTGACCTTTTCCAGCGCCTCTATTTTTGTGCATTGCTCACAGCGGCAATTTGGTGGCCTATCACGAAGATTGCGTACAAGAATAAGGCAATCATACAGTTCGGATTCTGCTAGTGAAATAATTTTCTAAAAATTAAAATGAATTTAAATTCCAAAAACACTGAAAATATTTTTTAATTACCCAAAAAAAAAAAAAAAATTAGAATATCTGTAGTTGTATGACGGTGAATTAAAATTGATAAAAATATAAAGCATACCTCAGCACATACAAATGTTGCAGTTTTTTTCTCGATATTTAACGTTCCTAAACCTTTTCCTGGCCAAAAAATCACACCGCTAGCAGTACCGCAACGTAATGGTACGCGAAATTCATCATTAGAACGACGTAACCATCGGGCAAATTTTATCCATTCATAGAAGAAACCTTTTGTAGTATGATTACCGCTGTACGTTAATATCTAAATTTTTGTAATGAAAAAAAATTTTTTTTTTTCATTACTAACATTCCAGAAAATCACATTATATCGCGACTGATAAAATAATTAAATGATGAATGCAACTTTCAAGAGTGAATTTAATCAGCGCAATGTAATTTTACAATTTCTGAATGTGAATAATAGATAGGATATGAATAATAAAAGGAACAGATAATAGCATAATA